TTTACCCACATTTGAATTTTTTTCTTTCCTAATTTTTAGTAATGATTCAGATCAGGTTAGACAAGAGACCACAGTTCATTTTTCTAATGACTGAGCCAAGTTATAAGTATCATTGTTAGATAAGTCACTTACAGATACACAAAATATAAAGTGGTGACACTGGATAATCTATTATACAATAAGCATTGAATATGAAAATGTAGCAGAAGAGCAAACAAAATTGATTGTAATGGGGCATGCTAAAAACAAAAGTAAGTACAAAAAGAAGTTTACCACAACATGATGACACCCTAAGAAAACTGCAATAGAAAATGTCACAAGAGATGGAAATATTATGAGAAGATAACTGGAGTAACTTTATACAGAAATTGGTAATGATTTGAGAATATCAGCATAGGAAATTTAATATATCAGTAAAAGATGATAAAAAAAATATCGAAAGATGATTAACTTAGGATTGATGTGTATCAAAAACTAAAAAATATATTTATAGAAAATACTAAAGAGTATTTACTATCAATAAAACTGAAGAGGGTAATAATAGATTTTTTAAGTGTTATTATTGAAATAAAAATACAATAGACACAATATAGAAATAGAAACAAAAACAGAAAACATTTTAGAGGAAAAAGAAATATATCAAACAGTTAGAATATGCATGAGAGACACAAACATTAAATGTCAAATTTTGAAACAAAATAAATAGCATACTAAGACCAATAGAACACATTACTAGCAAAAATAGAAAATATGATTACATAATTTTTAATATTTCAAGTCTGGAAGAATCCAAATGTGCCTGCCAATTTCACAATCCGGGATTAGTTGATTTGTTTTTTATAGCTTATCAACCCTTTGTGAGCTATTTAAAGCCATAACATTTTTTGGGATTGTAGGAGGTAGCTTACAGTATTGGATATTCACAAACTTCACCCATCTCAATACTGAGAGAGTTCAATGTTTACAGTCCAGGAACACTGACAGTTAGGTAGCACTGTATTTCAATATACAGAGTTAACACTAGCCACATGATTAACCAGAGGTGCCAGAAATATATAATTTTTACAAAGTTGTAGATTTCCAAAACCATATCCTATTTACCAGTAGTTCAAAGAGGATTACGATATTCTGGTAAAGAAATGTAAATAAATCAAGTAAAAATTTCTTAGAAAATTCTGGAGTGATGTTTGCCTATATAAATGCAATAAAATAGAATATGCAATATTGTAAATTGGGGTGGGAGGGAGAAGAGGGACAAAAAGAGATTTCCCCTACAGAAGAGCAATCTTTAGATGTATAAGGTTTTTTTTTTTGTGGGGGTGGGTGGGAATTTCACTCACTATCTTTTTATCCTCTTTTTATCTTCCAAGAGCTTTTTGATTCTTAATGTTTCTGGATTGAGTCATAGGAATGCCTGCCCAACCATGGCATACAAACAAAGTTATATGGTGCAGATGAACAACAAAGTATTCTGGTGGCATTTCTGCTAATCATACAAATACCAGTTTCATTTTGGCATTTCATATAAGATTATTATTTCATATGTCAGCAAATCAACATGAAATACTCAAAATCAGCCTCAAAGCTACATTTTTCCCCCTGAAAGAACACATTTGAAAATGAGTAAAAAGGAAAAGCTGTGTAACATGCTGTTACCATGACAACAATTTTGCCATTGTCTTCAGATGACTTGATCAGTGCTTAGGACAATACTCCATAGCAACAATGCACAATTTTTGTTTTCACATTATGAGCATGACAAGTTCATATATATATATATATATATATATATATATATATATATGGAGAAGGAATATATACATACATGTATGTATATATGGAGAAGGAATATGTATACACATACTAGCAAAAACACACACGCATACACAAAAATGGAGGTAGGTTTAAAGATACTGAAGTCATAAAAAGATGAGAACAAAGACCTCCTTCTCTCCCTCTTTCTCTGACCAATCCTAATTGTTTTATTATCTCTTAAGCAGAAGAATATTTTCTTCACAAGTCCAAGAAAATTTGGATTACTATTACACAAAAAAGACGATAGTTAAACCTCGGAAAATATACAGAAAAATTCCTTTAGATAATATATGGAAAAACCACTCTTCACCTGATGAATGCTGCTTGACCCGAAACGCATGTAGCAAAAACATGTAAAATAAAGTATGATATATATTTAAGAAAATCCACATTAAAACCAAAAAAGTTTTGCAGCTTCTCTCTTCTCTTTAAAATATATGCTTTTCTCTCATTGGAATAACTATAACCTCCCTCTAAATTTTTGCTTGAGGATGAAACAGGGCTTCATACTTTAATTCAACTTAATTTTAATAATTATATTGAGGTTTTTGGCTCTTGTTTTTGAAACTTGAGAACTCTTATGTAGCGAAGGAATTATATTTTTTTTAAAAATAATTATAATTTAAGCTCTACTTCTGTATGGAGCACTGTTTTTTAAAAATAAAAATACAAATACTAAAGAACTCCAGATTATTTACCTAACGTGTTCTTTCCTATTTTTCTACATATTTGCACATACACACACACATATATATATATATATATATATATATAAAACATGTTCCTCTACTTGAAGTCATCTGTATAATTTATACGTTATAATAAAGTGCTGGCTGATCATCATTAGGTATCTCAGATCTTTATGAGCTCCCATTTTTTTTCAATCATCTTCATTGGAAATGTCATTTCAAGATATACAAAGCACCAAAAAGTTTTAATCTGAGTGGAGACTTTAAAAAAAATATTTCTGATCTTTGAACATGTCATTAATATTTTTTAATTTTTTTTTTTTTTTTTTCTAATTTGGTCAGGTTAAAAACTTTTCAGCACCCATCTCATATTTATATAACTTACATACATTGTTAAAGAAAAAAATATCCCAAACAGAAGTATAAGGTTTTATAATTTTTTTCTTATATTTTTTTCTAAACTATCCAATCTGCACCCGACACATATATACATGATATCTGTGTTTGTTTACTTATGTATGATCATTGCATAATTTGTCTTGGTTTCTGTTTTTGTTTTATATATTTAAAAAAAAAAAAAAAAAAAAATGGCAGTGTGTGTGTGTGTGGGGGGGGTCTAAGACAATGTATATAATGTTTATATATTTATAGCAGAGCTGGGGAGTAATAGAGAAGTCCCCACTGCCTACAAAATGCTTTAGTAGCATGTGTCTCAAATAGCCTTTGATAATTAAGCCCAGCTCCAAGCTGGAGAATGAGCAAAGGCAGGCAACTAGTGCCTCATAACCAGCTGCTTTGAGTAAATGGAACTCGACAGTAAATGGAAGGCAGTCCATGTGGCAAAAAGAAAACCTTGAAAATGCAGACAGAAAACCAGGAGTGGAGCCCTGAAGGTGGGTGGCTGTGAACACTGACAACTTTTCAGCAACTCAAGCAGGTCCCAAAAGTAATGCCCTGTATTCCAATGGATTTTGTCTTTATGCCCAAGAAGTGGGGGGCATGCATTCTGGGCAGTGCATGGCCTCTATATACCATTGCCCAGATTTGCACCCTGGAGAGGTCACCCAGTCTCTCCACCAAAGGACCCAATTTTGACAAAATAGGGCACTACATTTATCTTACTGGATAAACTAAACAGATGCTTACTATATATATATATATATATATATATATATATATATATATATGTGTGTGTGTGTGTGTGTGTGTGTGTGTGTATATATATATAATTATATATTATATGCGCGTGTATTTATTAGAAAGCGCCAATATCAGAGATAGAGCTAACATATTTGTTGGATTGATGAGTTTGTGAACTTGGATTTCACGCTTTTGCAATCGCCAGACAAACTCAAAAGCGTGAAACCCAGGGTCAGAAACTCACATCAATCCAACTAAATATATATATATATATATATATATATATATATATATATATATATATATATATATTATATATATATATATATATATATTCGGATCTTTTAGTTCAGTTTTTATTTCAAATGTTCAAACTTTTAGCTTTCTGAATCAAACAGTTATGAAATTTTTGTTATTCAATAATTTTTAAGAAAATAAAAAATATTTAATAAACAAATTTTAAGTTAAAACATTTATGCTGTAAAAAATAATTTCATAATTTTAATAGTTAACATGCTCTTAAAAAAGAGCTAGTTTCAATAAATCCTTCACAAAATTGTTTTTGCGTACAGTTAAATATTATTTTATATTTACAAGATATAATAGTAAATTAAAATTATGAGTTTAAAAAAGTTTACATATTTTTGTCACTAGATAGACACATACAACTATTTTACACTATAAATTCTTCACTTGCTTTCTCATGATTATAAATAGATAAAACTCAACTTCATTAGGTCAGAAATGTAGTCAAAAGCTTAAAATTATTTATATATTTAATTATTCATAACCCAAATAGACTTACATCAGCACTATCTCATTAAATTTTTCAAGTAATGGCAGTTAAGTAGATGACAAGATGAAACTCTTTAGTGTGACTAAGAAAGGCTAAAATCCTATCTTTTATGTTCTTTCCTATGTTGATGAAATTCAATTTCACTATGATGACTTCTTTGAAACTATGTTTATATATAAATTATTCATAATTTGACTTTCTACACTATTTTAAACAAAAGGATAGGAAGGAAACACCCCATCCATACTGGAAAGAACAATAACAGTGGTCTTGAAAAACCCATTTCCCTGAAAATTCATTTCAAGAGAAAGATTTTATAAACTAGCACTTGCTGTTTCAGTCAATGAATGCCAAATAAGGAAATGGCTAATATTATCATTATTATTATCACCATTAATTCTCAAGTAAATTGGAAACTAATGGAGTTAAGCATTTTTTTTTTTCAGCTGACTGATTCTTGACTTAATATTCCAACAAACCACAGTCCAACATGGTACAAAAAAATCCCAACAAATCTAACAATTCTAAAAACAATTTGAAAATAACAAAAGCTACTCATA